CCAGCGCTTCAAGACCTCTTTGCTTGTTGCCAACAAGGTTGTATCGTTTGCGTATCTCAGGTTGCCGATGAGTCTTTCTTTAAGCCTGATGTCACAGTTTCTCAAAATAGTTGCTCAGAATACAGACTGGATAAATGGGGTGAGGGATACAACGTTGGTGCACACCTTTCCTGATTTTAAACTGCTCAGTAGTCCCTTGGTCTACGTGTAACACAGACAAATGTTCTGAAATTTACATTCTTTGCAACATTATTCATAATTCATTATAAGCACTGTGGTTGAATGCCTTTGCTTGGTCAATAAAACATAGGGAACCGTTTTTCTGGTATTGCCTGCTTTCAGCCAGAATCCGTCTGCCAGCCGTGATAAACCAGGTCCCGTGGCCTCTCTTGAACCAAGCTTCAATCTTTGGCTGTACTGCTGCAACCATTTTTTAAAATTATTTCCTGCAAAATTTTACTGGCATGTGCTAATAATGATTTGCTAATTTCTGCATTCTGTTGGGACCCCTCTCTTTGGAATGGGCACATATATGGATCTCTCCTCGTCCTTTGGCCAGGTAGCTGTCTTCAATTCCTTGGCACAGACAGTAAGCGTCTAGTGCTGCATTTGTTTGTTGAAACCTTTGGTTGGCATTCTGTCAATTCCTAGATCCTTGGTGTTTTGCCGATGCCTTCAGTGCAGCTTGGACTTCTTCCTTTAGTGCCACCCGCTCAGGATTATATGCTGTCTGTTGAAATGGCTGGATGTCAACCAATTCTTTTTGGCTCTTGTGGACTTGTTTTAATTTTCTTCAGTTCAACCTGGACTGACATGTGAGCAATTGGCGGTCTGTTCCACAGTGAGACCCCGGCCCCATCGAGCTTGTGAGATCCAGCTTCTTCTCCATCATCTCTTCCCTCCAAACCCAAACCCAAACTCACTGATGTTGCACCTATTCCAACTCATAATGACACTGTAGAACTGGACAGAGCTGCCTCGGTGGGTTTCCAAGACGGTAACTGTAGATGGGAATAGAAAGCTGCATCTTTCTTCTTTGGCGTGCTGGTGGATTTGAACTGCTGACTTTGTGGTTAGCAGCTCAACGTGTAACCCACTACACCACCAGAGCTCCTTGCCTCTTCCCACAGATGTAGTCAATCTGATCTCTGTGTATTCGGTCTACAGAAGTCCAGATGTACAGTCACCGTGTTTGTGTCGAAAGAGTCATTTAGTCATGCAGAATTAAATCATGTGATCTCCAGCTTCATTTCTATCACAAAGGTCATATTTTCCAAGGAGCAATCCTTCTTCGTTTCCAATTTTTATATTCTACTCACCAGTAATGATCAGTGTTTCTTGATTAATTTCAGGTTGCAGAAGTTGGCAGAAACTTTCCCTGTCTTCATTTCCTCACCCTGGTGGTTGGTGTGCGTATCTAATGAGTAATGTTTATATTGACTAGTCTTCCTTTGAGGTGTATGGCTGTGACCCTCTCATGACAGTGTTGTGCATCAGGATAGAATTACGTGGGCCCAGTGGGGTTGTTTTTTCTGAGCCTGTGAAGCCATAGGTTGTAGAGAAAGACAGACTGGCATGCATTAGGTGTAAATAATCAACTGTGTACTGTTTTGGAATCTTCTGGAAAGATGACAAATTGATCACCCTGGGACCTTTCCTGGGAACACTGGTGGTGCCGTGGTTAAAATGTTCAACTGATGACCTAAAAGCCAGTTGTCTGAACCCACCAGCCATTCCATGGGAGAAAGGTGTATCAGTTTGTGTCAACAAAGTGTCATAGCCTTATAAACCCTATGGGGCAGTTCTAGCTGGTCCTATAGGGTCAGTGTGAGTCAGAATCACCTAAACATCCATGGGTTTGGGTTTGGCTGCCATCCCTGGGCTGACGACTACTGCTAAGCTTTATTTTCTAACGAGACTATGCCCATTTTGTCCCTAAGGAGAATACGAGTGTGAAAGGCCCTCAGAGGGCTACGCTTCAGGTACTCTCAGCAGTATGGGGGTCCTAGAAGAGAGACCAAAATCTACGATAACCACACCATGGAATTACCTCCGCTGTCAGGGCCAGCTCAGGCCTCTTCAATGCATGCCTAAGTTTACTTGCAAGGAAACCTTATCACAATCCTATCCCCTACTTCAGGGATGGAACACAGAGGGAGCTGGATCTCTGAGAAAGGAAGTGGACCTGCCCCTTGACAGCTGGGTTTGAAGTTGTTTTTCCCCCTTTGGTGGGGACCGAGGGGAGATGGCTGTTCAGGAGAGGGGTGGGCAGGGGTGGGAGAGAGCAGAGGGAGGGGATGAGGTCGCTGCTAAACTCTTTCTTGGAAGAAGTTTGACTCATGTCAAAACAAACCAAACCAAAACAAAACAGGCACAGCTGCCTGGGAAACCCACTGGGACGTCTGTGTTGATGCTCCAGGAGAGCGAGGACCAATCGCAGAACCAGTTCCCCCGGGCATGCCCCCAAGCAGTCTCTTTGGGTCCCAGTGAAGAACTGGGAGAAATCTTCGAGTGTACAGAAGCCAACGACGCAGTGTGTCCTGCTGGGTTCATTGTAAGCCTCCCCACCCTGCTCACTGTCACTGCCTTCCCCAGGATTCTGGTCCCCTTCCAGCTGACTGGCAGCTCTGACAACATCTGACTGATCGCTTACACATCTTCTCCCCTCACGCCAACATTTGTTCCCATCAGCAACTATTGACAAATAAACGAGGAAAGTGATGCTCAGACAACAGAGAGTAAAGAAGGTGTCTGAGAGGCCTCTTTTCCTGAGAGTCTGATTTCAGCTCCCCTGAGCATTTACCAAGAGCCCTTCCGGGCCAGCTGAGGATCAAGGGCAGCATGGAGCCCTGGGGACGTGGGCCCCACCACACTGAAGGCTTCTGATGCTGGATGGTCAGCAGGAAAATCATCACCAGGACAGTGAACGTGGACTCTCCTGCACGAGGCCCCAGGTGTTCTTGTTTCTCTCCAGTTTCCCATCGCTTCCCCCTTTCTGTTTTCTGGGAGCTGGCTTCTGCTTTATCTTCCAACCTTTTATGACTGTGCTTACTCATCCCTAGGCAAACACTGATCTGCTCTCTGTAACCACAGGTTAGTTTAGATTTTCTATCAGTGGTGTTATATGTACTCTGCCAACTTGAATAATTTCTAGAGATCTTCAAGTTTATAGAATCTTTTGCAATATTCAATTTGCTGTTGATCTTATTTAATGCAATTCTCAAGATTTTGTGTTTTCAGCTTTAGGATTCCATTTGGTTTCTCCGTGTTTCTCCTATTTAGAGATATTGTTTTTATTTATTTTAAATGTATTAGTACTTGGGAGTGAATACGTTAATACCTACATCATATCATTCCATAGTTCAATCACGTCAAGCAGGACTGCACAATTGCTACCACAGTCTGTTTCCCAGCATTCCTTTTCTTCCTGGACTCCTTGACATCATCTCCCTTTTACTCCCCAACCACTACTGCACCCCCAGCCCCCCAAACCCTTATTCTACTTGCTGCCCCTCTAGGTTCATCAGTCTTGTGTTATTGTAACTATTTTAAGTCTGTGTGTGCTAAATATAAAATCTGTCAATCATGCTCTATGGGTTGTTTTCTCTCTTGATTATTGATCACATTTTCCTGGGTCTTCATTTTAAAAAATTTTTTAATATGAGTCACTGTGGATAATATACTGTAAAGATGCTGAGTTCTATTATTTTCCTCTGGAGTTTGATTTTTTTTTCTCTAGAGGACCCCTGTGGCATAGTGCTCATGGAATTCCAATGCAAAGACCCAGTGGGTTACTAAGGCTGACTCACTTGGCAGAACGTCAACTCTAACTTGTGTCTTCCCCAGTTCTCTCAGTCTCCCAGCTCCTATTTTCCACCGGACTCCTTGGAGAGATCAGCCAGTGATTAAACTACACAGTTTAATATATTTATAGCTATGTATAGTTGGAGTACTCTTAAACATTAGACTCTGTGTGTGTGTCTGATGTTTAAGCAGACCCAAGCTCATTGCCAGCAGCCAGTGGTTGGAGGGGAATTTGTGTGTGGATTAGGAGGCTCTCCCTTTTGTGTCTCCTTTGCAGGATCTTCTCTCTCAATTTCCAGTTGCTCTGGAAGCCTCTAACTCTGGCCTGTGTCTCCTCAACCCAGTGAGGCCGCTTTCTGCCGGCGGTACAGTAGTAAGTCCCCCTTCCCCTGCATGGAGTGCCCTCCAGGGAAGCCCAGTGTTCTTGGGATCTCGCCTAGTCTGCTTCCATGTTCTCAAGCGTCATATCCCCTCTAGTGTTTCCTACTTCTCGCTGCTTTCCAGTACCACCAAAGAGTTGGTTTTTTAAAAATACTTTGGTTCAGAGTCTAGTGGTCGTTGGACAAAAGGTTGCTCTGATACAAAGAGTCCACCGCTTTAGGAAGCAGAAGTCCTTGCCGTTTTAGGCGCCCCCACCCCCTTGGGTCCACGATGGCTTTATTGGCTTGTTCCTTTTTTTTGAGCGGTCTGTTAGCGTTTTGCAGATGCTGCATCTTCTCTGAGGATATTGATGATAATGTCTTGCTTTTTAAGTTTTCATTTCCATAAATAGCCTCTGCTCCTTTGTTTGCTTTGTTCTATGTATGTTATAGTATCTAACTTGTGTTAAAGACCTTGGTTTAATATATAGTCATATCTATAAACAATATGTTTATATGTCAACTGAATGTATATTAAGTTCTATATATGTAAACGGAATGTATGTTAAACTACATAGTTTAATATGTATATAACTATGTGTAGTTGGAGTACTCTTAGACATTAGACTCTGTGTGTGTGTATCTGCTGTTTAAGAATACCCAAGCTCATTGCCATCAAGTTGATTCTGACTCATAGAGAGCCTACAGGACGGGGTAGAGCGGCCCCTGGGGGTTTCTGTACATCTTTATAGGAGTAGGAAGCCTCATCGCCCACCAGAGTGGCTGGTGGTTTTGAAGAACGGGAAACTGGAAATCCAGTAGAAAGCTCTGTGCTTATGAGGGTGTCCTCTGGTGCTCATTTAGGATGGTGATGAGGCCGGGCCATTTGTTGTGTGGCATCAAATGCCAGTCTCTTCAGGGCCTGTCTCATGGGCTGGGCGTTACACCAGGGAATATTCTTCCATGTCTTCTCCAGAGGGTTAGCGCCCTGCCTTCTGGGCTCTCCATGGGGAGAAGCTGGAGTGCTCACCCCTCGTGGGCACCCACACTGACTTGTTCCCTCTGTTTTCAGATGGTAGACCTGACCCTCAGCTTTGCTCCTTAGTCCTGAGCGCTGCTATTTTATCCTCTTCCGAGAAAGGACATGCAGCCATCTGCTGGGGTGGGAGGCAGGCCCCACCGGGGCCTTGGGAGACCTGTTTCTCTAACAGCCTTCACCAGTGTTCGGTGCTTCGGTTAACCCTCTTCCTCACTTCCAGAGGCACCTGGTGACATGTCTTGTGCCCTCTGAGCATGCTATGGACAGGCTGGGTCCTTGACTTTCCACACAGTGCCGAGTTCAGGTCTGTCACGTGGTTGTTGCCTGCCAGCCTCCCAAATCCTGATGGTGGTGTGCCTTCCGGATTTCAAAAAGGAGGGCGCTCAACTCCAAGACCAGCAGCTGGAACCCTTAGAAGTGGTGGCTCTCGTGGCACTGAGAGGCCAGGTGTAGCTCTAGGCCCTCCATGTTCCTGACAGCAAGTCCTTGTGAGTAGAGAATGGTCAGACCCATGGGGAAGGTTTTGCAAAAGAAGAAGAGCAGATTCAGTGCCTATGAGTCAGGATTGTTGTTGGTAGATGCCATCAAGTTGGTTCCAGTGCTTAGCAACCTGTGCACAACAGAGTGAAACACTGCCCGGTCCTGCAGCGTGCTCACAGTCGGTCCTAGGCTTGAGCCCCTTGTTGCGGTTGCATTGGCCGTCCATCCCCTTGAGGGCCTTTCTTTTGCTGACCATCCGGACTACTTAGCATGATTTCCTTCTCCAGGGTTAGTGTGTACACAAGTGACAAATGCCAGGTAATGCATCTGAGAAGAACAATCCAAATCCTCTTGGTTGAGTGTCGCCTCACAGGGAGTAACCCGAGAGGAAGCAGACTTGCTCGTAGGGGTTCGAGACTGACATCTTCACAGGAGCAGCTGGGCAGCTCTGTCCTCCCACTGAGTGGCTGATGGGTTCCAAGCCTTTCAGTTGGCAACCGAGAGCTCAGCCATTGCACCACAGAGAGGGACAATATTTGAGGGAGATCGTGGTCTAGGAAGGAGGTCCGAGAATCCGTGTAGACATTCTCCTGAGGCCAGTGCTCCTGTGCTGAGGGCCCTGCATATCGCTCTTGAGCACTGGGAGTCTTCGACCCACAAGTCAGAGAAGGGACAGAGTTTAACTTAAGACTGTGCAGATGGCAGGAGAAAGCCTGAATATCAGGGCCACTTTTGAAACTTGAGCAGGTACGTTTAGGACATGTCAAAGAAAGCATAATTGACCATGGCAGGTCAGAAGCTTGGAGCTACCTACTCTAAGTGGCTCTTCTGCCAGATAGTTGAGTTCCATGGGAGGTTGGCTAAACATAGTCCCTATGCCTCCAATTATTTATTTATACATAAATTATATATACATAGATAGAGAGATGCTTCTGAGAGGTTTTGGCACATAAGCAACCCCTAGTTTAGACACTGAGGAACATGCGCTCCCTTTGGTGGCCTCTTGGGTCACTGTTGTCAGCAGAAAACTGGGTTGGATGTTGAATGGTCCTGACAGTGGCAACTTTGTGTAGTTGGAACAATTCAACTAGAATTAAGAAGACCTGGATTTAAATTCTGACTTCTCAACTTAGTCTTTTCCTTAAGCAAACTCCTAAGCTTTCTGGATCATGAGGTTCCGGTCAAGGTTCAGTGGGCTCTCACCCGCAGCAGGTTTGCCCCAGCATCCGGTCAGCCGAATTACAGGGAGTCCATAGTTTATCACGGGGTTCCACGGTGACACTGTCATAAATGGGCTCTGATCATTTAAATGTCCCCACCACTCCCCTCTAGCTTTCATGATCAGTGCCTTTAAAACAAAATAAACCTTTTTTCTTGTGAGATGGATGAAAGTTTACAGTTATCTTATCAGTGTCTTTTAAAAATTGGATCTTAAGTTGCCTTTGAATATCTGCGAGCGCATACTTGAGAAGGATGGCATGCTGTGACCTTGTAGTAAGAACATGTTTGTTTGTTTTTTTAAAAAAAAACCTCTTTCTAATGATAACGTGTTAAACAACAGCAGCAACCACAACAGATAGTGCTAAAGCGTGGTTTCTTCCAACTTGAAAACATCCTAAGTTAGAGACTCCCTGGATTGATCTCAGCTCTGGGTGGATCATCTACAGATACCCCACACCTGCCCTACTCGACAGGCAAGGTGAAGCTTGGGGAGCTGCCTCCTCTCAGTGGCTCTTCTGGCAGCTAGTTGAATTCCATAGGGGTTTGGACAAACATAGTCCCTATGCCGCCAGTTATAGATCTCTATATAGATCTATACTTCTGGTCAAGGTTCAGTGAGATCTCATCCTGCAGGCTCATCCTCCGGATGGGTGGAGGCTATAAAGCTGAGCACCGCCATTTCCTATCTTGGTAGCTGAATGGCCTGTGTGGCAAGAGTGGGGTAACCAGCCTGCCTCTCGGCACCAGCCTTGGCCGGGACACCCCCTCCCGACAGTCCTTTCCCACGGCCCACCTAGCCCCTCCATCAGAAGCAGGCAGAAGGTTTCACAACCTGCGTAGTAATCCTTCAAGATAGTGCCGATAGGGTTTGTAGGCCACTTCTGTTTTTCATCTACTCATTTCTGTTGAGCGTCTCTCTGAGCCCTCTTGGGGGCGGCAGAGCGGGAGGTCTTAGAAGAAGTGGAGCAGGCCTGGATGAGGGAACGAGGAGCAGAGCTCACTGATAGGAGTGGCTGATGCTGGGAGGGGTTGAATTTGGGAGGTCACTCCTCCTCTGTCGAGAAATAGGTTCATAGCCTTCGAAGGCCTGCACTCCTATGGGTAATTCTGATGATCCCAGACAAGGCTGTGTCTTCTTGGAGGCACTTGCTTGTCGTTCCTGAGGACCAGGCCTGAGAACTTCTGCGGGGTTCCAGTCAGCAAGAAGCCTGCCTTTGCAGCCCCCCATACCCCCGTTTTTACCCATACCTCGATGGCATTCATGTTTTCTTGGCCTCAATTAAACTTTCTCTGTGGTCCAGCCTTACATTGCATCTGGAATGAATGCCCGCCCCTCCTCCCCTGAAAGTTAGGATACTGGTGGAAGGTCTGAGCCCATCCTTCCTCTCGTCTTCTCTCCAACACGCTGCTGTTCGTTGCCATGGAGTCGCCCCCACGGACCACAAAACCAAGCAGTGCCCTGCACCGCAGCATCGCCGCGTGGCTGATGGGCGCAGCCTCTGTGGGTGCCGAGTGCCCATGACCCCACGGCCTCGTCTCCCGGCACTGTCTGCGGACCAATATTGAGTCTGTGGACCAATATTGAGTCGTGAGCTAGGGTTCTCCCTGACTGACTTTCAGGGTGGGCTTGGCAGACCGCTCTGTCTAGTCCATCTGAGTCTGGCAGCTCTGTGGAAACCTGCCCACCGTGGGTGACCCTGCTGGCACTTGCAATACCGGTGGCAGCCCCTATGACAAGCGGACGGCCTCTGGCACCCTGGACTCCTTTAACCTTGCCTTTCTTCCCTTTTCCAGAACTCACCTGCTGTGTGTCGGACTGAGCTGTCCCTGCCCTATCCTGTAATCCAAGACTTGCTACACTGTCCTGCTGACGTTCACAGCTGTGCCTGCAAAGGAGGCAGCCCCTTGCCTGGTACATTTCCGTGGGAGACCTCCACTTGCGCCCCGTGGAGATGCCATGGGTCAGGGGAAGAGACTGTGGGATGCCCGTTTCCGAAAGCTGTGCCTGTCTCCACGTGTGAATCAGTGTCCCCTGCTTTCCTCTCAGAGACCCACGCTGTCCCAGAGCTGGGCAGGCTGGAAGGCGGAGGGGAGGAGCTTAGGCAGCCCGCCTCCTCCCTTCCCCAGCCCTGCGCCCTGTGCTCGCCCTCCGGGACCCTCTGGGACCGGCAGCCCTGCCCGACGCTGCCCTGCATGTGCCAGCCCTGTCCGCTCTGCTTTAAGCTGTATCGTTGTGTCCAGGAGGGACGTGGCATCATCCGAGCGGGTTTCCTTAAGAAACGTGCCAGTGCCCATGGAGTTCACGAGCCCGCCGCAAGCCCCTGATCTCCCCCCTCCCACTCCCCACCCTTGTTGCACCCATCCTTGCAAGGCCCCTCCTGTCACTTTGTATCTTTGGTGAAGTTTCCCTGCTGCCTGTCTTTGACCTTCACCTCCCCTCTGACCTTGCTTAGGCATCATGGCTGGAGGTTCTGACCCAAGGGAAACAGCATGGTACACCTCGTGCCCCTGGCCAGTCCTCATTATTTTGTCCCTGTAGACCCGGCTGGAGTCCTGCTTGGTCCCACACGACTCCAGCAGCATCAAGTGGCTGGACTCTGCTGGCCAAGCGTGGGTCTAGCTGGTTTGTGCCTCTGCAGGTGGCCCTCCTGCCTTACCGCCGAACCAGCTGACTGGCAACGGGCCAGATGGGGCCTGCAGGGTCACGCAGGGTCGGCTTTTATGTTAGAGGGGGGTGGGGTCAGGGAACTGTGTGCACAGGTATGAGCTACCCCTACCCCACCCCACTGCCATTCCACCCCCTGTGAGCATAGGTGCCTGGCCCCTGAAGACCAGCCTGCTCCCATGTCCCGTCCGCCCTGGCCTCCAGCCCGAGGTGGTGACCCAGCTGGTAGCTCTGTGTGCAAGAAGTTGCAAAAGTAGGAACAGCTTGGTGCCTGATGATATGAATCTGCCCCCCACCCCCACCCCCCGCCACCCACGTGCAGGGTCAGGCTGCAGGGCACAGGGTCACAGCACCGCAAGCCTAACTGGAGCTGGGCCTCCTGGCCATCTTGGGGGGGCGCCTGCAGCCAGGAGGTGCTCCAGACAGAGCCAGGAGTGGCAGGACAGTGAGCCCCCAGGGAGAGAGACTCATCACCGACAGGACAGTGACATTCCAGATGTCTGTCCCGGGAGATCAGGCTCAGCTCAGCAGGAAGAATGTGATTTAGTGCGGAGGCTTAGGGTGGTCTCCGGAGCTCCAGCGTCCTTCTCTTGAGTCGGTCACCAGACTTCTCTGAGGGGTCAGTTCTCATCTTTGGTTCTCTGGGGGGTGTCTGGGGGTAGGGGGCATCCCTACCACTGCTAACCCATGAAGCTGCCATGGTCTTGACTTGGCCCCTGAGGGTGGGGCTCGGTGAGATGGCTAGAGGCCTTCCCTCAAGGTCCCCACAGAGAGACCCATTGGCCAAGATGCCAGGGGAGGAGGCAGCTGTCCCTCTGTGTCACAGCATGCATGGGATGTATTTGCGTTAAAGATGAGGACTGGGGACGCTTTCCCTCGGTGCCTCCCCCACCCCCGGGATCATGGTTGCTCATGGTGCAGGGGGAGGGGGCATGACTCCAGACACGTGCCATCCTCACAAGTGCTGTTCCATTGTC